TTAATTAAATAGACTTTTTAATAAATGTTTTCTCCTACAACATCAGAGTGCAGCGCCACATTAAATACGCACTACAATGACAATAGTTTAAAGCGATTTGAAGCATGTTTTTTTTTGGGGGGGGGCGTCATATTTGAGGGAGGGGGGTCTGACTTTTTGTGACGTTGTGTGACGAAGGGGGGGGGGGTGTCAAAAATCGTCCAAAATCGCATGACGTCATTTATGGACGGCCTCTAAGTACATTGTTGTGCTGTTCGTATAAATTGTACAGTACTCCCACATCTACGCCCCCTACCCCCCACCTTCACAAACCCACCGTGAACAACATGGGTGAAGTATGAACAAATATCCCTCATTACCAGCACGGGTGTGGGGAGGCCCTCATTCTGCAGTGGATTGATGATAACCAATCACGTTGAAACATGCAAGCCTGTGATGGTATTTATAATTTTATTATAATTGCAGGTATTTACGAAAGGAATGCGTTCTTCAAAAAAAACACGAGTAAAATGAAAGTTCGTAAATAGAAATCGGATTAAGCTATTTAATGAAAAACAAATTCGGGATGTGTTTCGGACGGCCATTCCAACTCTTAATTCCTAGCCTAAAAATATACACCGACATCACTTTTCCCCAATACAAAAGTAATAATAAAGAACACGTCTTAAAACAAGCGCATGATAATGAATTCAAAACGAAAATAATTCACCTTTCCAGGGAACTCGCCAAAAGATCTGCACATTGGGATGTAAGAAAGGCGATGTGCAGGTGTTACTGTTGGGATACCGTGACGCTGTCGCAGCGTCCCAGATGCTTCTTGTTTGATAATCTCACGGCGCGTGCCGTGTGAAACTTCGCCAACGCGGAAAATCGATTTTGTTAACCGAAAATTAGCGAATGTGTGTTGACGTGAAATTTCGTAAACCGAATGTTTCGTAGATCGAGGGATACCAGTCTAATAGCTGTCATCCATGGGCTCACATCGCGCACGTGACACGTGACTGCAGTGCGGGATCAAATGTTTTCAATCCCAAGGCTGATGACTCCCCCTCTTTGTAAAGGGCAATCTTGAAATGTTAAATTGTGCTTTCCAAACAGCTATTAATGCTCATAATTAGATTTGTAAGAGGTGCAGCCTGACATTTGCTCTTGCCATTTTGGCACTCCCAAGAAGCGTTGTAGTAAAGCACCCCAACAACACAGACAAAGTTCCCCCGTGTAGCCTTAACAGACTGTTGGGGTAAGTGTTGTTAGAGAGCAGCTCCTATGAAGGCCGGCACGACACACAAGCGGGATTGGCGAGCACCAAACCCGGCTACCTTTGTCTCCCCAGTAGCAATGTTTACACACCCACCAGTTACTCGTTTAAGGCTGAATCCATGTAGGGGAGGCCCAGGAAGGGTTCAAATAAACGCCACTAATCGGTGGTGAGCAGGAATTGAACTCGGGTTGGTGGGTCCGTGGTGCAGCACACTAATTGCTACACGACTGCTCCCCACCAAAAAAGACACACACACGTGTAGAGAGCTGCCAACGCTCAACCATTGCATTTTTATTTATTTCTACTGGAGGAGTCCGACGAGCTATGAAGCTCTTTTTGACAGATGTAAGACCCACGCATCTGGGCGAGACTCTCACGCCCACTCGATGTGTCGTTTAGACTGAGCAGCTATCTGTAACACGTTGTGATCGATTGACTGGCTGGATCAATCAAGTTTTTGGCCAATCACATTGCTGCCGCCAAGGCAGCTGCTATCAAGGCAACACGACCTCCAGGCACCGGGCCTGCCCCTTCCCTCCCCTGGACATGCGTGGGCGAACACGTGACTCAGTTTAGAGTAGCTCAGCTCAGGGCCAATGAGATCAGAGCGACGTGAGGTCAGAAGAACGTGGAGCTCCTAAATTTGAAGTTTACATCTCAATCCTTCCATTTGTAAAATACCACAAGCTCGCGTATTTCGCTTCCGTAACACATCTGGACTTGTTGAAGCTAAAATTGTAGAATACGACGTATGTATGTGTGTCTCTGTGTAGTCTTTGCTTGTGTGTCTGTCTGTGTGTCTGAGTTTTGTCTCTCTCTCAAATTTAGCAATCTTTGGAAGAACGTAATCAACAAGGTAGGGTGTTGACTGTTATGTTATCTGACTCTGTGCTGTATTGCATTACATTTCTAAGTTCACTAGGTTTGTTTTCTACCTGATGACGATTGCTTGTATTGCAATCGAAACGTCGTATTCTATTATTATTAATTTTCTTTCTACGTGACTTTACCAGAAGATCCTGCAGTCACGAAAGCAGCTTCAAAGCAAGTCTAAAATGGTAATTATAATATTTTATAGATTTATATAGTGCCTTTAAAACAATATAAAATTGTACATACGATCACCTTTTCTCCATCGCCCATTCTCTTCCCTCCCCTCGCCCCTCCACCCCTACATTTTCGTGATCGTCTAGTACCCCACTATCACTGTCACTCATTCGCTGTAGGTCTGCCCCTGGCAACTACATCGTTCCATTCTGTCATCGTTGTGTAAGCGATGTCAAGCGCCTCGAGTGAAGGCGCTCGAAAATTATAAATTAGATTGCTTACGTACAGTATTATAAAATTGCTTAATCATCTATTTTCAAACGTCTGATTCCTAAAAATTGACAGGTAGATCTGCGTGTATGGGGTACATCTCCAAGTGCATGGCCAACGCAAACTTAACCACGGATCTAATGGGCTGGAACCACACGTTGTCCTCACCACTGCATTTGTTAAACCGTAGAGTAGAAAAATTTACAATTTTGAAAATGTCACCTAATCTTCAGGGTCGAATACAGTGTAAACCTTTGCAATTTCCTACATTTCAACATTTAACTACGCACCCAATGGGATAGAAATCGCTGAATGGGGGGTCATCAAAAACAAAGATCCCCTGTGCATGTTAATAACCCACACAAAAAACATTACTTGCAGTCCTATCGAAACAAAACCGAAAGTGTGACATTGGCTTTCTCAGGCACCAATTCAAGGGGTGTATCCAACATATTCCCTCCGCGCTACAAAGAGAAATAAAGGGGTTTTGTTCCCTGCAGTGTGTCTCATTAGCATGCACACAGGGCTGCCCTGGTGAGCGTCAGAACTGTGAACTCTTGGTGTTTAAAGGTGCACACTTTCTGAAGCCGAAACCGAGGATTCCAAGTTCAATCATTTCACCTTCGCCCTGCCGAGATGCATTAAAATGACAGCATCAATAAAAAAAACCCCCCGCTGTCCTCGGAGAGGATATTAAGCCTGTCATTACGGCCCCCTTTCCATACACATGTGGAAATAACCCATTATTCTCTGTTCAAGATAAGCCATCGTGTTCCCGTGTTTGGCTACAATCTCCGCTGAAGAAACAGCTCCTCGCGGGGGAACCGCCTGTATGCAGACCAATGGCGTTGCGATGGATACAATGTTTATTCAACGAATTGAAAAAAAAATATGCGTACACCGTTTAATCAATCATATGATATCTCAATTGTGCTAATGTGGTCTTGCCACGGGGTGAAGACACATCCTCATTTCAACTGCTTTACTCAGCTGAACTTTGCTTAATGTCGGGAAATGGTCCTGGAAGATGCCAGCAAAGAACAAGTGATCCATTGAACTGAAGTGATCACGCACCCTGAACCAGATCCACACCGCCCATGCAAGATGCAGCAATCGGCAACTCAAGTGGGCCCGGTGGCTTGTGGGAAAACCGGGCCAGAGCGTAGTGGACCACATTGTGAACGTCGTGATCCTCGGTGATATTCAGCAGAGGTCCGTTCAGCTTCCCCCACCCCTCCACCTAGGCTGTGCTTTGGCCACCAGACCTGGACGTGGACTCATGAGTTGCTTTACAAGAACAAGTCCCTTCTGTAAGCTCCCCGTAATCAAAACTACACGGTGCTTCTTCATCCTCTGCAAATGATGACAGTCCGCACTCCAGTCAACAGGTATGCATTGCAACCCTCAAGGGAGTAAAAACCACGTTTTTACCACGTTTTTACTCGCCTTTGCTGTCCTTGAGAGCTCGTCGACTGCTTCACATTTGAATCTAAGTTCTCCCAAGTTGCTGGCTTAGTGCTAACGGCGACTGATTGTTGGACTTTAGTTCACCAGGTGAGCACCCACTTGGGGTGTGTCTAGGTCAACAAGGTACACATTCATCAGCCACCCAATCACCTCGACTGAGGCATCGATTAACGTGTTAATTAATTCGCCTATTAAACATCAAGGCACGTTCACGGTAAATAAATTCTCACGTGTATACCAAGAGTGGTTGCATAAAAAAACACGTTTAATTCAATAACAAGTATACTTTACAATGCAACAGAAATAGTTTGTATATATATATATTTTTAAACATCTAAATGCCACCACATCTAAGACACTGCGCAAAGAGCAAGACGACACGTGCGTCATCGTATTGAAAACAAACGAGGTAATTTCTAGTGAGGTGCAGCGGCGAGTGGTACGAGTGCACAGGACAGAGAGATAAAAACGTCTAGAGCACATTACATAGGCCAGAATGACGACACAGGGTGCTGAGATGCAGACATTGGCTGTAGGCAAGAGGAGAGTCTTAAGCTTGGGCTCGAAGAGGGTTAAGGCTCCAGCAGTGAAGGCAATCAGGTGAAGGGAGTTCCAGTCGGAAGCAGTAGCTGCAGAGGTTGACTGGGAGTTTTGAACAAGGGTCTCGGTTGCTTGATTGCTGAAGCAGAGGGTACGGGGAAGGGGAGCAGGGCAAGACGAGAGGAGAGAAGGAAGACAAAGAATTAGACCACAGAGGATCGTGAAGGCAGTGAGGTGGTAACGCCGGGTGCGGTTCAAGGACACCCACCTCCTCGTGTGCCGTGCCGGCCTTCGTAGGGGATCGCTAAGAGCACTTGCCCCAACGGTCTGTTACAGGCTACACGGGGGATCTTTGTCTTTTGCACGCGAGTGCACATGTCGACTGTCACGATTAACGTGCAGTGTCTAAACTCACTTGAGGTCCTCCAGCAAGCACGAGTAGAGTGAGAGGAGGGAGGCCGTCACGTGCATGCAGGAGGTCTTCACCACGGCTCTGCACTGCTTCTCCCCGTACTCGAGGCACACAGGCAGCAGCCACTCGAACAGCAGCTGACAAAAACACACCGCAGCCAATTTCTTCTCCAGCAGACACCCAACCACTGCTTCTGACACCTCCCCCCCCAACTGGCTTATTGCCTTGCGCACAGAACAAAGGTGTAAATATGAAGCGTTTTAAAATCAGCGGGCTGCCTTACCATGAGCGGGCAAATGCTCTCGCAGCTTGTGAACACAAGACACCAGAATTCGTTTATATCCGACAGAGCGATATTTCACGAAGTAGTTTTTTTGTTGTTGTTAAACCCCCCCCCCACTCCCCATGCCATCGGCTAAATGAGAGCATTCATGGCAGCACCTCAATAAGAAACCTGACAGATTAATTGTTTTTTTGGGAAGCCTGCAGAGAGGTCGTTTTTAAATCCTTTATATTAAGTTCGCTTGCGTGCTTGCTTGCTTACGACCGTGCAAATCTTTCGGTCGTTTTTTAACCCACTTCCCGTGATCCAATCGAGCTGACATTTTCCACACAGACTCGTTGTTCGTGAAAAAAAATTCCCAAAATTTTACACTTTTTAGGCAAAAAAAAAATATTTTACATATATTCAAAAGACCTCATTCTTGGCTTTGGCTGAACGTCACAGTATAAGAGCCCAGAGCGTAACCCCTCCACAGGCCGTGGCGGAGTAGCGCAGTTGGTAGCGCCCTCGCTTCCCATGCCAAAGGTCGCGGGATCGATCCCCGCGTCCTCCACAGGCGAATATATTTTTAAATCCTTTATATTAAGTTCGCTGCCACGCATATAAAGGATTTATAGTAAAAAACTTTGTTTTTACAGGTTATACTTATTTCCCCTCTCTCGATAGGCGCCAGCCCTCCATATCTCGTGCAATGTCTTGTACCAGGTCTACACATTTGCAAGTGCATGGAACAATTGCATCATACACCATTATTTTCTCCGAGTGTATATATATATATATACACACGAATACAAAGTGTCCCCCATGCCCAAAATAAGTATTCCGCTAGTTCTCATTCTCCTTCCTTGCCCAGTGAACATTTCTTATTCCTACGCTGGAGGGAGGTCAGTATATCGACAGAACATCGACTTTTTCACGCGGGAATGGATGATGTGCTGAGTCAGCCCTTGACCAGGTTTGAACCACTTTGCACCAATGTCGTGTGGCCATATAAGTGGTTTTGAAGGATGCTAAAAGCACAAACACGGTACTTTGTTTGAGTGTACGGTGATGTTCCCATTTCCCAGTGCACCGACGGTTGTATGAAATGAACCGCGCTTGGATATTTTTACAACAACAAAGTGGTCTCTTAGACTCGACTCCTGCTCACTTAAGACTATCATCACTTTTTACAACATTTCTCAAAAAGTCGTACCCTCCACTACACTCATGCTTACACACACACACGTGTGTGTAAGCATGAGTGTTTAAGTACCCTGTGTAAATCAACTGCTGGATGATGGCCTTCTGAACACCGTGTCAGTGTTGGCAATGTGGATCTTTTGACCATAATTCACCACGCTTGGTCAGTTTGGGTTGGGGAAGGGTTTGGTGGGGGTGCAGAATGATGGCGGATATCACTCAGCAACGTTAGCCATGGCTGGGAATCAAACTCAGGTCTGCTGGCTACTGACTAGTGCACCACTGGTCCCACTACCCATGTATATACACACACACAGAATGGGCACGGGTGTCGTAGCTCATACACTGGGCTACAATTCTGGGATCTGACGAAATTTAGGAACGTTCAAGGTGTTTGGTAACCGGCAACCACATTTTTATTTATATTTCCAGGACAGCCACGTTGGGGGGGGGGGGGGGTTCCTGCGTTTTTTTTACATTTTGAGACATTTTCAGCCAATTAATGATGAGCGTGTGTATAAAAGTGGGAGTGAAACCGGAGAACCCGAACAAAAAACGCACGTGCACGAGGGCGGCAACACTCGATCCCCGTACAGATGGAAATGGATGGAGATTGGTCCACTCGCTGTGTCGCCAACTCCTGGCGAGTCAGGGTATGGCCGCTCGACGCCCACGGGAAAGGGAGTTTTGGCAGCATTTGTGTGCGAATCGCCAACCCTCGCTGCCTCCGCAGTGGTGGACTACAAGCCACGTGCGTAGCCACCACCACCGTCCGGCTCTCCTGAATGTATTCTGCATTCTAACTGTGCAATATAATATTTGCCTCGTGTTTCTGGGCAATAAAATCCCAGAAGTTTTGTTTGCATAATATATATCGGACATATCACCAATGAGAAATGCATTTGAATACATTCCCAGATTTGCCGTATTATTATTTTAGCATTTCTTTGAAAAAAAATATATTACGTTGCATTTTTTAAGCTACAATTTACATTTTTCATAACGCGTGTAAATCTACTAATTGTGCAATTTGCTTACTTTTAAGGCTACTCGCAAGACTTTTTAACCATAGGTGGTTTGATATTATATCCTTCGGTCATCTTGGCTGCAAACCGATCTGGAATACACAATATTGCTAATTTTGCTTGAAAAGTCTGCTTGTTCCAGGTCACAAATGTTCACATTGCTTAATTACAGTGTTTATGTATTTGTTTACATGCATTACCAACGATAACCTTCAGCAATGCAATTTATTTTATTTGAACACTGCATTTTATTTTGCCAATTACATCCCAATTGTACAATCAGCAATTTGGTAGTTATCAGAGCATTTTTCATATCATCCAAAATGTTCACAAATGCACAAAACGCTCGCAAACTACATGTTATGTGGAGAACGATTGAGAAATATTACAATAGGCATTAAAATATATTCTTTACCGTGACCCACATTTTAAAATAAATTAAATGTATTTAAGCTGGATGCTGGATTCAATGCCACGTTTTGATTAAAGGCCTCTCCCGCAAAATATGAACAGCAATATGGACACACAATGGTCTCCTCCTAAGAGGTCTATCCTTCACATGCACCACACAGCATGCCTGCAATCTGGCTCACCACTATGGAACTGATGTTGGTGGACCGCAGATTTAACGTGCAGTGAAATTCCCAGCCTTGTTGTGCTGTGAGGTGGGCAGTAGGTTGCTGACACAGACAATGGGGGGGGGGGGGGGGTGTGCAATTTTGTGCCGATTTTGGCGAGTTTCCACTGCATAGGGTGGTGATGGCGACACGTGCCTGCAATCAAGCACTGCGGAGGTCAGGTTTGGTGGATCGCACACATGACCATAGTACCCCGGCACTCGCATAATGTCCGTGGTGCAGTCATTTTTAGTCTGTTGATGGTCGGCGATGCGGCAATCGAGTCATCTCGACGAGCTATACACGATGCACTATTCAAAGTTGTATTTTTCGATAATGGATTTTTATGATGATGTTTGGCGTTTCGACATCGCGGAGTAGCACTGATTTCAGATCGATTGGTACCCCAGTCGCGGAGTTAAACACACCCCTGGAAAAAATTGTGTCCCAGAAATACAATATTTAATTGCCTCGGCCATTTTTTATTATTTGGTACCGCCATTAGTATCAATTGTTGTGAAACTCTCTTCCCGTGGTGTGTATCACGGTGTCATACCCTGGCTCGCCAGGAGATGGCAGTACAGCGTTAACCATGCCGGCCTTCATAGGTGCTCGCTAACAGCACTTGCTCCAACAGTGTGTTCATGCTATATGGGGGATCTTTGCTTCTGTCATCTCCCAATTGAATCTTTCTGCAAAAATGAGTCGAAAACATCTAGATCCAGGATCCTGCTGAATAGTATTCACTTTTAGAGTCTCTTCTGAACATTATGATTCATTACCTATGAATTCACATGACGTCCTTCCACCGTTGTTAAAACAAGTGCCATTTTGTGGGAAGTCAACAACAGTTGTGCCATGGAGAGGACTGGTCTCTTCCATACGAATATGGAATTTACACCACTGGCAAGCCCCATGCTTGCTTGAGCTTGAAGGAACAGATATTTTGAATTTGTATTACAGAGGCTCGCCAGAGTTTATCAGGCGCTGCAGAAAATACCCGACAGCTCTAGAAATTGCACTGCTGACCCCAAGTAAACTCCCTCTACAAAAGTATGCAAAGCACTGGGATGGACGGCTGTGCTGTTGGACAGCGATTGCCCAACTGTGCGGAGGACTGAATCTCACTCCCCACCTATCCGTCGATTAAGCATGTCGGTGAACTGAGAGCAATTACTGACTTATATTGGTGATGTTTTTTTTATTCTTCCTTTACCCGAGTGGACCGAGACCGTCGGATGTGCTTACACGTTCTAATCAGATAAACTGTTGAGCCACACAGGACTCAGCCCGAAGTGCTCAGCAGCGCTGGCTCAGTTGCTGACAACACAGGAGAGCTACAATTAGTCTCCAGGACCATCAGGCAATCTTCCCCCCACCCCTCCCGTAGCTGTTACATTTCTACCTTGCTGCCTTATCAGCGGCAAAGCCGGGATTTTCTAATGCGTAAAGTAGGTCGTGATCATTATTTCACTCCACCTCATTTTATTTTTGTTGCCTTCACTTATCCTTGACAAAAGCGATGCGGTCGAGGGATGTTGCGGTCTGTTCATGGCGGGGTCCTGGCAACAGTCGTGAGGTTTTAAAGCATCAGCACGAATATATGAGAGGGGCCGTGAAATGTTTTCAAAAAACAATTAGCAAGTGTCCACGGGGTCACGTTTGTTTACGTTTCGTGGCAGCAACGCCCAGACTTCATCTACTTCTGGAAATGTAAAATAAACACAACAGTAACGCTCAGGATCTATATCGTAGTCTAATCTCGCATACTGGGGAGTGGCGCCACGGTGGTTGATGTTTGTACAGTTGGTTGAACTTCTTTCGCACCGTACGTAGCCAACCGTGCTAACCGGAGGTGCGCGGTAAAGACAACAAACTCAACACAAAAATCAGTTTTAAAGAAATGAGTTTTCTATCTAGATTATTAAGAGTGCATAACTCCAGTGGCTTCCTAATATCGGATGGAAGAGCGTTCCAGACGGCCGCAGAAGCGCATCATAAAGTGTGCAATGCAGCGACTGTCGTTATTTGGTGGTTAGCAGCCAAATGCTGCTGCGAGGATGACCGGAGTTCGCGTGATGGTTTACGCTCCTTGACGACATCAGCAAGGTGTTGTGGTTCATTTGTGGCAAGCACGCACTACGTGCTGCACTATGAACTCGGCAACCTGAGTTCAGTGCCCAACATGGGTGGCAAGTAAGATCTGCACTGACCAGCAGCACTGACCAATGTGGTGAAGTATGGCCAAACAACGCCTACAACCGACGTGGTGCGGGAAGGCCTTCATCCAGCAATGGATTGAGCAAAGGCTGAAATTGATGGCAATCTAATCTCTAACGACTCCTCATAAATGACAACAATGAATAAAATTTAAAATAGAAAAACAAAAGAAGAAAACATGTAGTAATAAATGAAGCGAAAACGACGTATTCCATATACAAACAACACATTATCTAAATAACGTGGAATGTCAATGAAACGGTAAAAAAAAGGATTGCGGTATGAAAAAAAAAACCTAATTATTTTCATTCCCAGTGCACGCTGCATTTGCTTGTAAAGCGTTTGAAAATAATTCGTAAATTACAGCCGATTTAAGCCGGGCATTCCTTGTTGCTGCTGCTGCTGCTGAAAGGAGCGGCTTTACAATTGGTCACGAGGGGTGGGCCTGAGCTGCGTGAGAGAGCATCAATCCACCGCCGTTGCTGCTGCAGAGCGTTAAGTGTTCGTAGTTTGCCGTTGCAAAGGATTCGCCAGGGCTGCGCAGTTGGCGGAGTTTGCAGGAAACTCCCCTCGTCAATTTAAGATGCCAATTAAAATCCCGGTCAGAGATGTACGCAGCACTACAGTATATGAATCTCGGGGATATGGCAAAATGAGCAACAGCCTGATGAGTCCGTTACAACTCGGTGGGAGGTCAACTGTCCTGAGAAGAGACGGATCAGTGCTATTCGAACATGTAATGTCCACCATTGGCTGAGTGAGAGTGGCTCAAGATTTCCAATTTAGATGAGAATCTCCCAATGCTTTGTAAATTGAGTGCTATTTAAAAGTCACACTGAGAGTGGTGTCTGGTCAAACTTGCACAGGGTGCTCGAGGCACTCAGTCCGTGGTGTATATTCCACGTTTTGATGCCAAGGGCCAAATCTATCATAACACCACCACTGTTAACTTCCCACACCTGGTTCATCATTTCATTAACTTGGAGGGACCATGTGACTGAATCAACCGTTCCCAGGGTTTCCATGCTCAAGCCCTCTGAATGTAATTTGGGCTCTAGGTTTAAGTGCCACCTGTTTGTGTTATTGACAGTAATGATGACATTATCAGTCCCTACAACAGTCAATGTCTTGTTAAATTGAGCCAGCGACTAACACGAGAGTCTACTTCATCACAAAAATAAAATAAACATAGAGGTCATTCAACTAAGAGGCCATCACGGCCAATTGTTTTCTGGTTGCGTTTGTTTAAAGCAGACAAACCGTGGATCGGTTTACATATTTGAGATTATCATCAGCAAGAGAATTGTCCCGCCAAACGAATGCGTTTGGCTTGCCCGGTGTTGTAGGCAAGATCCATCCACAAACACTCACTCCAGGGACCATTAATGATAGTGCAGTTTGTTTTTGCTGTTCAGCTAAGGTCGAACAGCTGAGGTTGAACATGTTGGCATCCACTATTGTCCACATTCTACAGGTAGTAAAAGACCTACACTGAGTCAGGTCTGTTGGTGGATTACTTGTGCGATGGTAAGGCCCCTAATTACAGATATGTTTTGGGTTAGATCATGTAATATATAAATGTGCCATTAAACCCGCCAACACCCAACACAGCCAATTAGTAAAGTTTGTCATGTAAACAGAACATGCCAATTCGTTATTAGTACAGCACACCGGTGTGTTGGAGAGCAAAGCCACAACATTTACAATCTGAGTACGACGTTCCACCAGTAATTACAACTAGCTTCATTCATCAGGCGACAGCCACATTTATGTTGGGTGGTGGCGGGTTTAACAACACATTTATATATTTACGCTATCTAACCCAAAACAAGAGGATATTGGTCGTGAAATCCTACGTGTTAATCAGGCCAGGCCCACTTGGGCTATATAGCTTTACCTACCAACAAATGATACCTCAACGAAGTGACTTATCGAGTGGAAATTGATAGCAGCCAAATGCTCTAAATACATGTTTCTAAATGTGGAGGGAAAAACTGGAGGACCCGGAGAATAATCCACGCGACCACGGGGACAGAGAGAGACATGCAAACTCCAGATATACAGGCGGCAGGCTTGGGATCCAACTCAGGCCCTCCTGTATACCAGGCGAGGTAGTTAACACCTCCCGTTCGGAGAGTGAGCCTTGGCGGTGTAAGTGACGACGACGTACTTTCACAGTGGCTCTGTGCTGCTGACTCAGCGCCGCTGGGAGCTCAGTTCTGAGCCACGACTGCACGAGCGGCTGCCAGCCCAGATCTGTCGGCTCCATGTAGATCATTCCACACCTGTGGCAGAGAGACGGACGGACAGGCGGCAAGAGGTAGTGAGACAGCAAAACGCATGGATAATCAGAGAAGTGTGACGCAGAGAGTGAGTGCAACGGATAACAATGAAGAGATTATGCAGATAGATGATGCATTTCATCCTAAACCACAACTCACAATGCATTCCATCCTAAACCAGATCCCCCAAAAGTAACACTGTTGACACCTGACCTCCCACAATCTGTCTTAAGGTATTCACCTGGGTCATAAACCTCTCGGTGCCCACTCATTACATGTTCAGTCACATGATCTCCAAATTTGCCAAATTCCAAAAATTACCCGCAAATTACTCAATTGTATTTATAGATCAATCATCGCCGCCTACCAGCCGACTAATGCCTGTTTGCAGGCCAGGTGCTAAGTGACCTTGTATCCACAGGGAGAGCTGCTCCTGAGAGTACTCAATTCAAATGCGTTGAGATGAGATGTGATGCTGTCAAGTGTTCTGAGATGCCCCGGAATATAGGGCACAAAAAAAACATTATTATTATTCATCATCTCCTTTATCATCCGTGCTCAACACATGCTTCAACCATCAGCATGTCCCTCTGTGAACTTTGAAATTGCTCCGGGACCAACGCGGCAACAAGTAGAATACGATGACTTGTGATGTTGGCAGGCAAGGCAGAGCATGTAGACAGATGTTTGATCGGTCAGAAATGAACGGGCGGTTAAAACAACAATGTTTAACATCCAAGTGGAAATTGCGAACTAGACTACATTAGACTGCTCAATTCAAATTTAAGTTAAATTATTGGTGAGGAGTCAATTCAGCCCTTCATCCCTCCAGGGTCTATAGAATGAGTACCACTTTGTGGGCGGTTGACTGCATTTGTCTTATGGAGAAAAGGGTCTCAGTCATAGGAATATGGAATTTCCATCACCAGCCTCGGACCACCAATGGCGATGAGCACTGCTGCAATGTGTGAGCGTGGAGGCAAACTTAGACTTTTGACTACGTCATTGATGAGATTCAGTGAAATCACAACTGTTTCTAAGTTGCTTTATAAAAATTTGCTGTGTGGAAAAGTTAATCTGCATCATTAACCAGGGGCCAAAACATAATTTTCTTCAAGCAATTAAACATAAAACAGTATTTATTGATATTTTATTACGTAATAGAGAGTGCGAGTGTGTTTTTTTCATTTTCGCAAATATCACCTGCATGATTTAATCCCCCAAATTAATTCCCATATTCTTAGAAGCTTCTCAATGCTGCTGCTCAAAGTGCCCCCCCCCAACCCACCTCATGTGATGAACTAAACTCGGTTTCATAATCAACGTTTTTGGGTTTAGATCGCGTTATTTATAAATGTGTCGTAACCCTCCACCACCCGACACAGCCAATCAGTAAAAAAGTGTCACGTTGATAAAAGACAAATAGTTAACTGCTTTAGCCCACCGGTGTGTTGAAGCGTGAAACCACAACATTTACAATTTGAGTACGACGTTTCGCTGGTAATTGCATCCAGCATCATCGGGCAATTCGCCAAAATTCTGGCCAGAATTCTGGAGAATTGCCCGATGATGCTGGCCAGAATTCTGGCGAAATGCCCGATGATGCTGGATGCAATTACCAGCGAAACGTCGTACTCAAATTGTAAATGTTGTGGTTTCACGCTTCAACACACCGGTGGGCTAAAGCAGTGAACTATTTGTCTTTTATCAACGTGACACTTTTTTACTGATTGGCCGTGTCGGGTGATGGAGGGTTACGACACATTTATAAATAACGCGATCTAAACCCAAAAATGTTGATTATGAATAATATTGGTCGCGAAAGCCTGCTACGTGTTAAACTGAACTCGGTTTAAATCCCTTCCGTGTGGTGGCCTCACAATCTCTGGAATAACCGAATGAAAACTTTGGGGATCAACACCTTACCATCCTTGTCCTACTCTAAATCAATGTTGGACCTCGGATTTCCTTTCAAGTCTGCGTACAATTCATCCTCTCTACTTTGCAGACTTTAAGCTATGTTTTTTTTCCCAATATTACCGACCTTGGTGCTGCTTTGTGTCCAATAATTGCTCGCGTGAGATGCGTTCTACCAGCCTCGTTGTATTCTTTGTACTGGTTGTACCATGCTGATACACGACCTTGCCAATCGGAACTTGACGATGTGCAGTCGGTTTGGTATTGGTTTGTTCGTGGGGTTTGTTTGCCGTAACCAGGTGTCTATTGTAGAACCAGGTTCCCCATCGAATTGGTTTTACCTGTGCCAAAATAAACCAACGGTAACTTTATGTCATGTCAGTTTGACACGTAGACTTTCGCGACCAATATTATTCAAATAAAAGGTTTTTTTTTTAGGTTAGATCGCGCAAGTATAAATGTGTCGTTAACCCACCACCAACCGACACAGCCAAATAGCAAGGTTTGTCACGTAAACAATGCCAATTAATAATTACCAGTTTAACACGTAGGCTTTCGCGACCAATATTATTCATAATCAACGTTTTTGGGTTGAGATCACGTTATTTATAAATGTGTCGTAACCCTCCACCACCCGACACGTTAATGATGACGTCACCCTGCTGCTGCTCTATATAAGACCGGGGACAGAGCAGAGCCTCACCATTCTGGCGAATTGCCCGATGATGCTGGATGCAATTACCAGCGAAACGTCGTACTACTCAAAAATTGTAAATGTTGTGGTTTCACGTTTCAACACACCGGTGGGCTAAAGCAGTGAACTATTTGTCTTTTGTCAACGTGACACTTTTTTTACTGATTGGCCGTGTCGGGTGGTGGAGGGTTACGACACATTTATAAATAACGCGATCTAACCCAAAAACGTTGATTATAATAATTACCAGCAAAACGTCGTACTCAAATTGCAAATGTTGTTGATTTACTCTCCAACAAATCGTTAGGCTGAAGTAGTAACTAATTGGCACATTTTGTTTACGTGGTGGTGGGTTAACGGCACATTCTAACTATATCTATATGCATGGCTGCAATGATCATAAGAGTAAAGTATATTCATACAAACTCCGTGACAGATAAATCATTGAGAGGCCATCCAATATTAGATTGACACGGGGCTTCACATCACCGTTTTGCGAGTATTGTTAATGAGGAGTATGTACAGCCAGGGTAGCCCACTGTAAGCTGTTCATGAAAGTCTGACACATGTTGTTTTTGGGAATACCGTGTGTTTATTGAGTCTGGTCGTTAATGTCCATGATGAGATTAGGGTGTATGCTTTATACGACGTCCAAGCTGTTACAGCTGTTAAAATAACAAACCTTGACTCCGATATAAGCACACCAACTGAGAAAATCGACACTCCATGACGCTACATATCTACAATGATAACATTTGCACTTAACCTCAATTAAATTCGGTTTTGTCATTTTATTCTATTGTTGCAAGCAATCATGGGCCCGAATGGAAAAAACAACAACAAACTTTGTCAACAACTAAACATTTATAAACATATTGAATTGTTTGTTCATCCACCTGTAGCCGCCAGCCTGCACCCACAATGCACTTGGGGTACCACCAACAGCAGCAGATAGGCAACGTGTGGCAAATCGGCACAGGCAATACTTAATTAAATAATGTATTTCGTTCAGCCTTAAGCAAAGTTAACACTGAACCCAAAACATACAGCGATACGTACTCGCAAAACCACGGATGTGTATGCCTCCATGCAACCACACACACAAAGATAACGATCCTCCCCCTGTCGCCTGCACAGGCTGTTGGGGCAAGTTCTGTTAGGTTGGCACGGCACACGAGGGCGTGTGTGACCAACACCACGCCCGGCCGCCTTTGTCTCCCTAGTGGTGATGCTTACACGTCACATCAGGTACTCATTTGAGGCTGAGTCGACCTCGCGGAGGCGCAGAATCGGTTCAGATATCGTCACTGGTGTTGGCCGTGAGCGGGAATCGAACCCGGGTCGCCAGGTTCGTAGCGCAGCACGCTAACCGCTACACACACACAGACTGGACTCCTCTCCCAAAAGGGTAACTGAATGCTCATGGAAAGACAAGGAATGAGTCATGAGCAGGTGATGTTTGAAACAACAGAAGGCATGACGAGGAAGAGTAAAACCTATCATTCGGTGATAGCACAATTTATGGGTGATTTGTAAAGATATCAATTTTACAATTAAATGGCAGCGGTTTGACTGCTGTCATAATGGCATGACAAGATCCGGATATTGTAATGGGTCCTTATTGGAACTGAATGAAAAGTTATACTAGCCATCGACGTAAGGAGGCTAGTGTTGGCATCATGTGGAAAGAATGTTATTCAGCTTGAAATAACATATAGATAATCTAACGATCACTTGTCCTTTTCTGGGTCATAGTAGCCAACGAAGCAAATAAACCTGCACTGGTTCCAACTTATTTGAGTCTTATCATCTTGGTATAGCCTGCAATATCAGTGACAATGGCATACAGTACGTGAACAGAGTGTGTCAGAACATCGTATGGTTCAGCGGTCTTGTGCATGACCCCAGAAGGCCTTAAGTATCCACAGCAAACAGTGTGCTTTGGTAATAAGTCTGAGAAATTAGCAGACAGCTATGGGAATAGAATCGTTAACCTTGTGAAAACTGGCTCGGTGGCAAGCGTGCTAATGACTAGGCTACCCAGCCGACTAATGCTGCTGCTTTTTTGTTGCATTATCATTAAAATGATGAGCAAAAAAAGGGAGGCGTTGGTTATCAGCACACAGCATTCGTTATGGCAGCTACTATGAACAAAATGTGTAAAGAAACCCGCAAAATTAGACAGTCGCTCTCAGCTAGGGCAAGGGAATTTGTCTGCTTAAGGGTATGAAAAATATCCTAACACTTTGTAAGAAAAGGTTATTATACGCCAGCGATTTGACCAAATATAGTTAGCTCTAATTGCCTCCTGATCTTGTGTATAAACCAAGTGGAAGGAAGCTACTGTCCTATACATATTCAAGTTATACTTTGAAAAAAAAACATTTCTCACAAAGGAGAGTGGTGATTGCAGAACCCATCAACCAATCAAGTGTCACCACGCAGCCACGAATGTTGGTTAATGTTCCTTTAGATATGATAAACAAAAGCATGCCGATGTTTCCATCGTCAAGCATAGGCAATTTACCCAGGATGTTTATTTCTGCCCCTCTTTGTCAAGAATATGACCATATATTTACGTATCGTCAGCCAGGGTAAGCTCAACAGCTGTTTAGCCAGTTTGAACATGTGAGAATATAATCAGCACAATGAAGCAAATGTGTGTTCTTGATTGCCACGTGGGCTTGCTATCTGCAAACAGAATCCGCATTCTGTGATGTGAGCTCTGCTATTACAGACCCCTAACAAGACGCATCATGAAAGCTAATTTTGAAAACAGGCTTTGTACATAGTGAAACAGTTAAATGCCCACTGGCACAACAACATGTAAAGAGATAACAGTTGCACGGTCATGGATCAAGGGGTCCCAGGGTCATTAATTAGTTGACCGTTATTACAATCGAGGGTACTGCTGCATTGTCAAGTTACCCAATTCGTAAACCCCATGGCTGGACATTGCTGAGACATTCATTAAATGATTGTTATTTTGTCCTTCACCCGCACCTCCGATTAGCACGGTTGGCAACGTACAGTGATAAAGAAGTGCAACGTACATATCTACGTATTTACCCAGAAAAGCCTCAAGTAATTCTCAATCGGGGTTTTTTTTTGTTCAGGAGGGTCCTGCTTGGGATGTTTGATCAATTCCTCACCGAGTGTTTTTTTTAGGATGTGACGAAAGCAGACGCCCCAGATTAAACGTACGTACGACAAGGAGAGCACAAGTACATGCAAGCAGATGTCAACAGCCTCCTTGCAGTACTGCATTTCACAGGCTGTCTGTAGCCTTGCATACTACATCAGCACGATCCACTAGGCCATGCTGCATGCAGCGTGTCACGAGCGCGCACCGCCACACCCGTGTCCCGAGTAGATGACAACTTGCTCTGTCTTATAATCAACGTTTTTGGGTTAGATCGCGTTACTTATAAATGTGTCGTAACCCTCCACCACCCGACACGGCTAATCAGCAAAAAAGTGTCAAGTTGACAAAAGACAAATAGTTCACTGCTTTAGCCCACCAGTGTGTTGAAGCGTGAAACCACAACATTCACAACAACAAAATTTGAGTACGATGTTTCGCTGGTAATTGCATCCAGCAGCATCGAACAATTCGCCAGAATGGTGAGGCTTTGCTCTTGCTCCCGGTCTTAAATAGAGCAGCAGCAGGGTGACGTCATAATTAACTCATCAGGCGCAACGATTTGAGGCGGAGGGGAGGGTTATTGTAATTATATACTAGATTGCTCCGTCTTGCACTCAACGCGTGCACACAAGTTGTGCATGGGTTTTCAACGGCCAAAACACACCACCTTGGCGAGTTTCTTAATGTTGATAATGGATACATTGGCACATTTTATCAAAATAAATTGGATGACAACAATTGGGCAACCTGTGAACTGGGTCCTTACGTGTTTTCTTTGAAAATTATTTCCGCCGTAGAGTTTTCGGGTTGTGTCATGCGAATCGTTCAGCACGATGTCCAAACGTTTCGCTCCCCTTGCTGGGAGCTTTTTCAGGAGCTCCCTGCAAGTGGAGGGAAACGCCAGACGTCGTCCTGCTTAATGCGTGACACAACCCGAAAAACGCGCCGCAGAGCTGTACAGCACAATGGCCAAAAGCCAACGCAGTTACGTTGTGAAGTCGTGCAGGCTCACAGATGGGCGACCATACCTGCTGACAGTAGCTGGTGAGGCCTGCTCCAAGTCCAGCACCTCAAAGATCATGTTCTGGTGCGGTGTCATCTGTATGATCTCTCCACTCATCAAGCACAGCTAAATGGAAGAAACAAAAGGGGGGGGGGTGTTTATTTATCACCATTGAACAAAGACGGTCACCGCATCGCGCGCTTTTAGGTGCATTTCTGCGGCCACTTCGAACGCTCTTCCTTCCGATATTAGGAAGCCACTGGAGTTATGCACTTTTAAATATATAGATTGAAAACTGCATTTTGTATTTAGTTTGTTGTCTTTCCACAACACCGCCGATTAGCATGTTTGGCTACATACGATGCGAAAGAAGTTCAACATACGTCCATACATGTTAATTTTCATCATTCATGATCATGACTGGATAACGACAATTACTTATATACCCACAAAAACCTTTGTGAGCCTCCAGACACCAACTTGCTGGTGGAACAATATTCGTGAAAGTGAAGGGGTGTGCAATTCAACTAATTTTTTTTTGCTGTCTTTAGAACATAAATTATTTCTTATTTATAACCTCTACATAAAGAAGCCTAAATTACTAATTTTCCTTGGAAAATTTTCCTGCCATTTTGAGTAAAAAAATATCAACGAACACCGTTTGGTCTTTAATATCCACCGGCCAACAGTCGTCATGCTATTGAGATACTGGTCCCCGCCATGAGAACATGGACTTTCCACCTGTATTCAGAAACACCACTAGAGATGAGCGCAAGACCCATAGCTCATTTTAACAGGGAGGCGCTTTGATTCGAAATAACAATTTCATACAAAAATAATAACATGCTTTAATCACTGGCAGGCATGGAGAATCGTGACTGCCTTTCTGAATTTCTCGAGGTCTATTTAACTGAAACGTTGAGATATTCCTTTCCTCTCAGTGATTAACTTGTTATTTTATGTATAAGTTCACTGAAGCAGCAATGTGATAATTACTTTGACTGAAAATAACTCAGAGCAGTCTGAGAACAACTGTTTAACAAGCTTCACAGCTTCTCCAATATGTTAAGCTCAGTGAACAGTTTCCCATTATTGTGCGATATGCCATTACACGTTACAGATTTAAAAAAAAATCCCTCTCCCAGACTTATCCAAATGAGGAAATCGAGTGTATCAATGCCAAGTAAATCATTCTGCTGGTCAAAGCAGACTTAAGAAATATAATTAACTTGTAACCTAGCCAAAGCTTACCCGTGGAATGCCAACAGAAGGATTGGGGAATTGATGATTTCTCTAATTACCACCTCATACTCGTGTGCTTCCTCATCATTGCCGATGGGACGTCAACATCACTGTGGGAATGGCAACTTACAAGCACAGTTGGTAGATCTTATATGCAACGCTTCAAAACGCCAGGCAACAACAGGCCTTGCCTGAAGCTGTACAGCAAGTGTGTCTCTATGTGCAGAGGTTGAGTGCCCTTCCTTCCCTTGCATCTGTGAGTACATCTCCAGGCCACCTTCTGTTAACATCTCATCATGGTGGCGGGATGTTAACTACCTCGCCTGGTATGCAGGCGGTCACGGGTTCGATCCTGACCCAGATGCCTGTATATTTGGAAGTTGCATGTTTCTCTCTCCCCTTGGTTGCGTGGATTTTTCTCCGGGTTCTCTGGTTTTTTCCTCCACATTTAGAAATATACGCTTACAGTGTTTGGCTGCAAAAAATTCACACGTGAGAAGCCACTTCATTGAACTATCATTTGTGGCCAGGTCGCTTCTGAAAAAGAGTTGTATAGCTCAGCAGGCCTTACCTAGTGAAAAACATTGTTTAGTTGTTATCGTAAGCAAGGAGGAAACAAAAAAACTAGCGGACAGCTAATTTGGCTATTTTGTAAAAGAAGCCTTGAGATTCAGAAAGGGTTTTATAAATATAAAAAAAAATCCATGCTTTTGTTGGAACTCATTGATGAAATTTGACAGTATTACATTTCTGAATCTAGTCTGGGCCCTCTTGGCCATGCCACCTCTCCGAATCCTCAACAACGACACGAAGTGAGTATTCTTCTCAATTCTCAAGCCAGAATTTCTAAAACTGCTTTATAAGATGCTCATTAAAGTTAGATTATAATTCGTACAAGAGATCGTGAAGAAATCGGCCATCATAAAATCTTTCAAATGGCTTTAAAGTGAGCATCATTCCAAAGATTACCGTTGAAATCACTGAATTGTGCATGACAAAAAAAACACCTTTGTGAGTTCTCACCCGGTTAAATAAACTTGAAACGTGATATATGAAGGCAGACACAAACACTTTGCACATCAAATAAGTATCATTCACTCTTTGGTTCTTTCGGTAAAGCCACGTAGAAAAAAATAAATTAAATAATAGAGTACGACATTTTGATTGCAACACAAGCAACCGTTATCAGGTAGAACTAAATTGGAGAGAGAGACAAAACACAGACTCTCCGTGTATTATTGAATACATTTTCTTTCTACGTGACTTTACCGAAAGAACCAAAGCGTAATTCCTGCAGTCACGAAAGCTTCAAATCTAGCATCATTCAGCTTGGTTTGAATGATCCTCATTTAATGCGCACTGCACTACGCACCTGGCGACCCGAGTTTGATTCCTGGCCATGGCTAACGTTGCTGGTGAGTGATATCTGAACCCGTCCTGGGACTCCACTTTACCAATCTGCACTGACTGACATTGTGAGGTATGGTCAAACAACGCCGACGACCAACACGGCACGGCAGGGAGGCCTTCATCCAGTGTTGCATTGACAGACGGCCGAGTTATGGTTTTACTCGCCGAGTTCTCAGCTGGCAATAAACAAACTATATATATTTTTAAAGGGCCAGTGCCCAAAACATCAGCAGATTTTATATATATAGCTACAAAAATCCCCATGGCATCGCAACACTGTTGACTCACGAGGTGAATTGTCTTTTATTTTGCATTATATTTACGCTAGGAAAACCTTTAGCAAAGGACACAAGAGTCACGTTACATTCACGAATGGCGACCAAATTATTCTGAGGCTTGCAAAATAAACAGCAATCGCCAACGTGAATGGAACCGTGTTATATCTCTACTCCAGTCGATCCACATGGAGGTTGTGGTGAAGATACATTTGGAGCCCCGCAATGGCTTGCTCGTGCCACTGCTGGCAGAAGGGCCTCCAACTGCAAAGGAACTCTATAGAGGGGTAATTTGGGCTATCCGTCCATGCTGGCGAGATGACTTGGAAGAGCTACGGCTGTGTAGGTGCACAATGCTAAAGTAAGAAGCTTTTCCATTTCATGCAAGGGTTGACACGGGGATTTAAAGTCCCTCTGCTCTAAAGCTTATAATTGACAGTGTTTTACAATGTTTTAAATATGCATGCGTGCTGGGATTTGGCTAACTGGACGTATTGGCATGTTATATTCAATCAGTGGGAAGTGGTGGAGAAATGCCGTATAATCTGGGTTGCCCGGCGGGAATGGAGGGCTTGGTTAGGGGGTGGTGGGTAGTGGGGGCTCTGAGCTAGAGCGAGGCAGCTCTGGTTTATGGCTGTGTTGTTTATACAACATATATCCGATATATATCACTGCAAGAAGGCGGAAGTCTGAACAACTTCCCTCCAACGTTAGTTAATTTAAAATGCTCTCTATTGACCGGTGGGGTGTGTGTGTGTGTGTGTGGCATCGGTGAAGAAAGCAACGTCAGCCAGTGCTGCAGCAGGAGCGGCAACTTGTAGGCCGAGCGGGTCAATGTAAAAAAAAGAAGCAGGCATGTAATCTTGACAAACAGCACTTTGCCTACTCCTGAACCACTAAGTATTAACCAACACAATTGTCTTAAACCACACAGTATCATGCACGCATGTGCAAGGGACAGGTTTCGATTAATGGGGCATTGTTCGTATTATTATTATTTATTTGTATCCTTTATTTACAATGTGATCAAAAGGGGATAGGAAACCTGATTCGATGTCAGTCAGCCAATGGGTCAGTTGTGAGCGATACATTACTTTAAGTACAATATTCTCCAACACTCTGGAATGTAAAATGCACTCTAAATTTGTGCCGAGTGTCAAAAAAGTTTTACAAATCTGATCATAATGATTAAAATAAACGAAACTATTTTAATTTTACCAGGTTTGGCCCACTGAACTAACTGTATTATAGCTCTTTGTCAAAAGTGACCTGCTCACAAATAATAGCTCAACGAAGTGGCGCGTCATGTGGAAAATAGATTGCAGCCAAAATACTCTGAACGCAATGTTGATCCTAAATACTGGGGGAAAGTGAGAAATATAATCCAGATAATGTGCCATTCGGTCGTGATGTCTGCTGTGTAGAGAAAATTACTATTTTATGGTACTGAAATTCACACTGGTTGTTTAAGCTGAAAAGTCAAATTTCAACAATTAAACTAAAATGGCCACAACATGACTTCCATAAAGTGTGGATTCATCTCAGGCAATTGATCAGATTATAGTCAGTCATTATTCAGACTCCATTAAATTCGCCTCAACGGTTGTCAGCCCATACGCTACTGGCATGTCATTAACATCCGCCGGTCAGGCATGCATTGGTGTCGTCAAAGTGGAAATGTGTTTCTCTAAAACTGCACATCGTTTGGAAGCTGCACATAAGCAGAATGAGCGTACTCTGATTATGCACGCATGATCTGACTCGGAATTTTAAACGGAGCCAATAGGCTTACGTATTTCTATAACAAGTAAAGGCGCAGCCCTGCAATTGCTTACTCGCGCCACTGCTGGCAGAAGGGCCTCCACTCCAGACGGCCCATGTGGGCAGGACTCGGTCTACCCGTCCTCGCAGGCCAGACACCTCGGAGAGCTCAGAGTGCTCACACTTTACCCCACTGAAAGTGGCCTGCTGATCGATCAACTCTAATGTACCTAATTATATGGGTACACACATAAATTAGATGTTAAAAACCTCGCCTGGTACACAGGAACGCGTGGGTTTGATCCCGACCCTGACGCCTGCTGCTGTATTTGGAGTTTGCGTGTCTCTCTCCCCGTGGTTGAGTGGATTTTTTCCGGGCCCTCCGGGTTATCCCTCCACATTCATAAACACGCGTTTAGAGTATTTCACTGCTAAAAA